CCCACACCCATGTCCCAGGCGATCCCTCTCATCACGCTCCACCCGTGTCACCGTGGGTGCTGGAGGAACATGCCATGGCACGGGTGAAGGGGATGGGGGGTATGTGCTGTGCCATGGGTGAAGGGATGCAGGGACACCAGCCACGCAATGGACGGGTGCAGAGGACAGCGTGGGGAGCCACTGTGACACGGCTGGAAGGCGATGTGAGGGGATCGGCCGTTCCATGGGTGGAGGGGACCGTGGTGGGACCGACTGTGCAATGGGTGGATGGGGCTGCAGTGGGATCCRCTGTGTCACACATGGAGGGGGCTCMGTGGGGACCCCCTGAGCTGTGCAGGGACCCACAGTGACTCACTGTGCACACCCCAGGCACACAGGGGTCACAGGAAACAGGGGTCTGTGTGGACACCCCCCATGTGCCCCCAACCTTGGAGGGGTCATGGGTGAAGGAGGGGACCCGTCAAGGCTCACCCCACCAAGGAGGGTTTGTGTGGGGATCTGCTGCTGCCCAGCCATGAGGGGTGCTGCAGAGGTGTCCGGGGTTGAGATCCATCCATAGACCCGCAGGAATGGTGGGGATCTCTGGGAGGAGTGAAGGCTCAGCAGGGACACCTCAGGGCGTAACTGCTTGGGCACAGGCTGGCAGTGGGGTGAATGGTGGGGCAATGGGGCAGATCCTGACGGGGTGAACCCCCCTCCCACGGACAAGGAACTCACTGCTTTGTCCTTGTGAAGGAGGACCTGGCCTTCAGAGAGGGTTCCCCACAAATGAGGGCTTCAGTCTTGCAATGGGAAGTCTGCCAAACACAGCCACAAGCGTTTGAKGGGGCCGGTACTGCGTGTCCACCGGGCCCGGGAATTACAGAAAACAGGGAAAAGGAGGAGCCCCTCAGCCCCCCAAGGCCTCGTAGTGGCTGCAGGCACGGCAAGGCTTGGCAGGGCTGCCGGGGCTCAGCTCCCCGACCTTGGCTCTGTGCCCCAGGAAAGCCCCCTCTGCAGCCTGGGGATGCAGGGGGGGAGCCGTGGGACAGCCCTGCTCCCTGGGCTGGCCTTTCTCATTGAAATGAGGAGGGTTCGGCGTGGAGGGAAGCATTGACAATCACTGCCCAGCTCCCAGGCAGCCGGGCTGGGCGGTGAGTGTGTGAGCGCGCCGTTCTCCCCTCGCCCCTTTCTTCCCTTTGAATCAAACCAGATGTCTCCCATGAAATGAGATTGCCGGAGCTCGCACTGGAGAGAGACAATGCGGAGGGATGCGAGACTCCCACCGAGCCACATTGCGCTGCAGCTCTGGCAAAGGCACCGGCTTTGCTGGGGGGTGGTGGCACTGGTGCCTCGTCGCCGGGGCTGGAATTTTCTACCCCCCCATTGTATCCCGATTTCCTCTCTCTGGCTCTGGGATCCTTGCAGGAATGTTTTTTTCCTTTCTCCCCCTCCCCTTCCTGGGTCTACCAGCAGAAGATCTCAGATCTCAGCTGCGGCTAAACTCGGCAGATGGGGCACCCAGCACAAGGAGATGGCTCATCCACTGACTCAGCCGGTAAGGTGCTGCTGGAGCTTTCCCTGTGAGTTTGCCCAGGCACTTTGGGAAGGGAAATTTTTGCTTTCAGTTTGGTTTCGGCATCCAGRTTTCCTGATGCGTTGTACAAACTCAGAGAGATGCTGGGACACCAGTGGAGGGGCTGCTGGTGGCATGGAACRGCTGTGGGTTACAGATTGTGGTGGTTGTGCTGTAGGTGAGCACAAAGAAGGGGAAAAAAAGTAAAACTAAATGGCAGGAGAACCCACCCACTGCGGTGTTTCATGCGGCTTGTTTTGGTCATGGTTGTGGAACAGTATCCTTATTTCTTTTTGTTTCTTTTTTTCACTTTTGTTTGGTGCTGGGACTCCTGAGAGTGGCAGTTTGGGATGTTTTCCTTCGTGGCACTTTGGGATTTCCCTTCTTCTAGGAGGCGGCGTCTGTGTTGGGATGTGATGGATGGTGGCTCCGTAGGGCACGCACACATCACATGAGTTTTTAACACATTAAACGGCCAAAAATGTGCATTTAATGCACGTGGRCATTCACAAACACTGCTGGTTATTTTGCACACACGTGCTGGCTGTGGCTCACCCCACACTTACAACCAGGTGAAAACCTCGTGCGTGTCTGTGTGAGCACACGTGTTACAGGTGCAAACACACGCACACATTTACATACATGGAAATACGTGCATAAATCACACCTCTTTGTGTGCACAGGAGTTTCCATGTAGGGGTGTTCACATCATGGGTGAGGATGGCGTGTGCACCCATGTGCAGGAACACACATGCCGACAGAATGTTGTGCTTGTGGTGGTGGGAACCATCGTGTTCTGCCCTGTAAATTATGAAGTTTTCACCTGTCCAAGTCGGATCTCATGCGTGAGGCCGATAGAAATGCCTGCTCTAGARGTAGCAGGTCATTTTAGGGACGTGGTTTTTGCTTCCAACTCCATTTTAAGTCCCGTCGCGGACCTCTCAGGAGAAAAAAAGTGCTCCTGGAAATCAGAAAGTGAAAGGAAAAAAAAGGGAGAAACTGCGGAGCTCCAGCTCTGAGCATTCCAGCTGCACTAGTCAGGCTCAGAAATCACCAAACTGACTAAAAAGTTTCTGTGGCTACGAAAAAAATATTGAAAATCGAGTTTCTTTTCATTCGCCGTCTCCCGGGGCTGTCGGATTTCACTCTGGTTACATCACCTTGCTTTTCTGCACAGGCACAAGGTCTAGAAACTTACTTTAAAAAAACGAAAATTCATACTCGTGCAGATTCACATGACTCACAGAGCTGGGAATTTAAGGCAACCAGGAACGCTCGTAGAAAAATCACAGGAATTGGCAACATGGGCAGTGACTAATCCTGATGGGTCCCTGATAGCAGCGTCTCTCAGTTCATACAATATTTTGGGGGCGTAGCTGGGCTCCAACCAMGACTTTGATCCTCTTCCCAGTGATAGCAGCTGCTTGGGAATGATCTTACCTCCCGTCTGGCATCGCTGCCTCTGGGGAAGCTGGATTTCAGGAGTAATTCAGGTTAAAGTTAGCTCTGCCAGGTGGCTTGAACCAGCTCGATGAGCTGGAGTGGGTCATAGGGGCTCGTGTTGTGGGGCTTTTGGGGGCTGAATCATTCCCAACTCTCTGGATACAGGGGTAAAAGGTTATTTTTTGGGTGCAGGTAGTGCCGGATTGCGAGTGAGGATTTCGCTGTGGGTGTAGTCTCTGCACAGCTACATCCACTCTCCAAACACCCCWGCCGAGGTTTTGGCAGAAACACAGTGTTTCTAGTTTAAAAAAAGCGGGTATTTCCAAATGTTTTWAAAAACCCTCACCCCCGAATTATTGTCAGAGGGGAAAAAAAAAAAAAAGTATTAATTAAAGCCAGGGATGGCGGCAGAGGTCGGGATCAGGCAGCAGCATCACGTGCCCCTCGCCCCTTCCCGAGGCAGGAGGCTGCAGAATGATCAAAGAAAAGGGAGAAACTGCAAATGCAGCTGCTGCCGGTGCCAGAGCCGTTGGGGAGGGGTGGCCGGGCACCACGGCTGGTGACAGAAAGCTCTGTGGGAGGCAGGAATAAAGCTGACATTGACTGAGGAGGTGCCAGCAGCCYGTCCTTAAGCAAAACAGCGACTTAAGAGTCACCA